AGATCACTGCGGGGGAAAAAAGTATACCGGCGACGAGGAGGGGTTGTGCAAACGTCTCGCCTCGCGGCAAAGTGGTCACGTGAAGCTTAAAGTTCAGCGCCACTAGACACATCAAGACCATAAGAGTCGACTTGGTGGCTTTAACAGTATTAAAAACAGCAGGGGAAGTTACTAGATCGGGTACAACTTGCGGCACAGACTTCTTTTGAGCTAAGTAGGACGGGCTGAAACTCGAAGAACGCAAGGGATATGACGGCAACCAGAGTTCCTATACACCTATACACCTATTTGGGTGTTGGCCAGCTCGAGCGTCGACTCAGGTGGTGTAGCCCGGATACACTAGTGGATCTAAATAGTCACTGACCTATATACATAATCAATCGGCTCTCCCGGCTGACATAGCCACCTACACACGACTGAGACCGGTTGGGATGGTCAATACACGGATTAATACTGGTGAATGGACTCTCACCGATCGGTTACGGGACTCACTCAGGTGTTTGTAAAGAACAAGGCCTTGCTCGCCTTCCTTAGTGAGCGCGACTTGATCTAACTGGGACGGCTAAGGCACATCCCTATAGCTTAGGTGAACACAAACACACATTTATGACCCTGATATACCTCGAAATGAAACTCTCGGGTTGGCTGCAACATCATTAGAAGGACGGATGTCTAGGCTGAGGGATAGGCAGCGATCCATGAGAGCCTACGAGGTGACTTCGACGGGCATCGGTGCTGGCACTGCCATGGCAACTTGTGAGGACAAAGAGGCGTATTAAGCAACGCAGGTGACTCATGCCAATAATAGTCTCTTTAAAAAAGGGGGGGAGTGGCGATGAATGCCGGTGTACCTACCTTTGTCATGGCGCTGATGGCGTTCTCCGTGCAGATATTATTGTCATCGGAGCGCGAATCAGCTGCCTCAATCAACTGGATGAGGGGACCGACAAAGTCGCCGAGGACGGCTGTGTAGTCTGGACCGCCACACATGGCAGCAACGCCAATGCCGTAGATGGCGGCCTGACGGATGTCCGTCTGCTGGTGCATCAAAGCGTTAACAAAGGTGGGCAGGAAGAAGTCTTTCAGGGCCCAGGACTGCGGTCCGGCGTGTTCGATCACGTCGTCCCAGAAGCAGATG